CATCTTCATGGCAACCTTTTTCAGTGTCTGAGCTTTCTGTCTTTTTTCTAGTTACTGCGAGGAGCAGAAGGCGGTTTCGGCATCTGAAAGATTGTCGTGTCGAATCTCCACAAATCTCGAGAAATGTGTACAGATGGTGGCCTTGTGGACACTGGATTTAGTGGTTAAAGTTGCATTGTGTGCACTATGTTCAAAGGCAACTACTGTTATTCATAGGTAACAGTAATAGGTGTAACTTCTGAAATTTCACATGAATAAGTTGGGTGGGAAAACAGTTGTGGGCAAAGAAGCGTTTGGCCGAATACTTTTGAGCGCTACTGTACGTGATTACAGGAACTGCCTCTGAGCGCACATTAGCGAGATTTTAATACGGTTCCGCAGAAAGAAACAAATTTCTAACCTTCGACATGGAGCGTGCATACATTGACAACATAGGTACTCTGTAGTATTTCACAATTAGCTGTAAGCAAGCTTCACTTCTATTCCGTGGAGACATGGGCTCAGTACTTGGAAAACCATCACCGAACACTTCGGCATTGTTCGAAACGTTTGCAAGGAGAAACTGGAAAGTGTATTGATGTAGGCAATTGTCTGCCAAACACTGCTTGCGTATCAGTCAGCTAATATCAGTGCTCGAAACTCGGGTATTATAAAAGGTACATGATTGATGCATTGCATTGTCGGCTATTTCCGAATTTGATCAATAGTTCTGGTCTGTAGGAACGAAACCTGATATTATAATAGTTTTCGAGAAAATTCTTTCCTTACGTCCATTAGATCCCTGTATTTCTGTTCAAGCCACGGCAACCAGGACAGTATATAGTGGATCATTACATAATTAGTTATAGTTCTAGGTGACGTTTTATTAAGAACATGGTTCAACCTGCAAGGAACTACTTCGAGAAACACGAGCTCCTCTGGGACAAGTCATGCCAAATGCTAACCGCTCCATGTATTCCTTGCTCGGAACTACGACTGATGGATCATTAAGTATATAGTCGTGAGTAGCCGCCGGCGCTACAAGAAGCAAGTACTTTGTCCAGTTGACCTTAACATTCGGTTTAGTGGCTACAAAAGTTAGAACGCCATATGCCGTCTTAAACTTTCGGTTCATCAAAAAAACTCGCGTTTTTCAGATCAATTCAGCACACTGTTCTACATCGGACGACGATTTGCCCTTTACTGCCCCCGTTTTTAAGGTTCAAATTCAGTTCAAGGGATGCGATTGGTCTGGAAAAGTTCTAAGGAGTGGGTGGATCTCCGTAACACAAATATCACATCCGTTCTGCACGGAACTTGCTCGCCCCTCGCGCCACAGGCACCAGTGCGAAAATACCTTAAATCACCAAACTTGCTGAAAACTTACTGTCAGGAGTGAGTTGTTCGCCTCACCACAAGTACTGTATCCGCGAAGTCGCCTAGCGCATGCGCCACGATTGATGACACCGCATGCTTAGCCGAGCTAGGGGCTAGCGCAGATGGGGACATGCGAGGCAAGGCGGCAACCGTTTGCAAGTTTCTCTTTCAGCTTGCCTAAACAGCTATCCTTGCCTTTGCTGAAGCCCAACCTCAGCAGAGAAAGAGGGCTATAGTATTCCCCGTTCAAGAAAAAAAAGACCAAAAAAAGACAAAGCGGGACAAAAAGAAAAGAATACAATTGGACATCCCACCTTGAAAACGACAAAGAAAAGAAATACAATCGGAAATTCCCGCGCATTCAGAAATTGCGAAAACGTTTAAAAAGTTTTTTTCTGCGGTTGCACCGAAGTGTGTTACGGATTTCACGAATTAAGCCGAAAACTCCAGTGTTACCCTTTTTGGCATCTACAGGCTGACAGCGGCATGTGGGTAAACGTTTCAGTGGTACCGATGCAACATATCACGTTAGAGCCTGAACGGGCTACGCAGGATTAATTCACATGTCGAAAACGAATGAGAATAAGCTTCATTCTTCTCAATCTGAGGGCACCAAAAAGACGACCTTGGTTGGGACCGCTTGGGAAAGGCTGCAAGAATCTCGGGGCCATCGGAGAATGAAGTTGCCTAGATATGAATACGACCGGTACTCTTATGCATCGGAAGCATCATCGGAGATCTCATGCTGCAAGCCAGGAATTTCAAAGTGACGTCATCGAGCTAACCGAGACGAGGACACATCGCCCGCTACATACCGTATACATGCGGACGCGGAGGTGGTGGCGGTGAGGGCGTCCTCGTGAACACGCACTTGGCCATACGTCGGTTTTAGCAAACATCTCACATTTTGAGTAGGACGTATGCGAT